GTGTGTCTATGTGTCTGTCTATCCTTCAGCTGGCGGACATTCATGGAGAGGCGCTGCTGCAGTGACAGGGGGCTGGGGTTGTCCTCTCTCCCGAGGGCAGCCTGCATACTGAACCTCTCATCCCTAGCCCCACCACAGAACAATGATTTAAATGGGGGGTGAGGGGAGGGAAGAAAAAGAAGAAAAAAAACGAAAACAACAAACCCTATTTGAGTTAAGGATACAAACAATGCTAGGTAGATCTGCACTTCCCATATTGTAAATATTTTAAATAGTACTTGTTTTGATTTGGAATTTTCTATCACGATAGAGAGGCTAGCATTTTGGAGGATTCTAAACAGGTTCATTAACACAGTCCACTGACACAAAATCGTGACATATGATGATCTACTGGGTAGTGAGTTCATTTTATATGTAAGTTTTCATAGCAAAAGGTGTACTTGTTACCCAAGTTTAACTCTCCATTTTCCATTGTAATTAGGTTAAAATTCCATAGGTTAACCACATATCAATCACCCGAAAACTCTTTGGATGAGCAAGCTGAAAGTTAGAAATAAAAGTAATTTTAAAACAATTCATTTCATTTTTTATATTTTTAATAAATCTTCATAATGGAAGAAGAGCAGACATTCACATTTCTGATGTTACTGTATGCAGTTAAGCTTGCTTGCTCAATGTTCTAAAGCAAGTAACATCTTTGAGAAATCACTTTGCTCAGTATTAGGGCACAAGAAAAATCCTACATGACTGCTTTCCAACACAACAGATAAGCAGAAAATACCATTTGCTCTGGTTAGGGTATGTCATGGATTTGTAAGTTTCAGAAAATACTCCAGAAATGATTTAAATGAGAATTCTATGCATATGAATTCACAATATACTTCCATTGAAAACAATGCAGTACAGTAAAAAGTTGAAATGAAAATGAACTAAATTGAAGTCTCCTGGCTAATGCGGCTCAACTTACAGCAGTCAGCTAATGAACTGTCTGTCATATCTACTCTTCAACTTTTCACAAAATGTATCTTAAACAAGGATAAAATGATGGAAAAGTAACTAGCAGTCATTATAACTATAATGATGTACATATACATCTTTTGCCATCCTGATCTTTTATAAAACTTTAAACTTGGAGGAGGTACTGAAAAAGAAATGTAAGGAAACGTACATTATGTAACTCCCACAGTCTTCATCTAATTTTTACAAAGAGATCTTGTACCTTAAAGAATAGGGGTTTAGACCAGTCAAATGCTATTCTAGAATGCAAATGAATTTGCTGTTTAAAAGAAATTTCTGAAAGTCTTTCCCAAATCGGAAATTTTAGTATACTAATATTTGGCAGTATTGGAAGCACATTGTAATCTTTTTTTCAAGGCAGTTTGGTGATGTTAAAATACCTAGCTAATAGATTTATTTCAGCTTTCATGTGAAGTAACAAAAACTACAATGTTTCTGAGATGAGAAATCTTGTCAGACCTTAGTGGTGAGCATCACCCATAAAAGTGACATGCAGTATTACCGGCAAAGAAGATGTTGCCCTCATGCCCTGCAGCAAAGTCACTGTCTGTCTGTTATTTGACAGACAGGGTAATAAGGGAATATGTTACATTGGTGGGAAAATAACTGACAAGATTGCAGCAGAGTATTGTGACACATTATAAGCAAAACAGAAGTAGTCTACAAAATGCTTGGGATAGAGAGCAATTTAAAGCATATGTTTATTACCACCACACTGCACCTTTGTATTGGTTCGACCTGCAAACATTCACTAATACCTAAAAAACTACTTTACTTGTTAGATCAACACAATGTCACCATTACCTAGTTTCTAAAATTGAAAACTAATTAGATATATACATAATATAATCACCTTCATTGGGACAATTAAATCGTTATACAGAATCTTTTGTGGTTTATCCACTTGTATATTATAACTTAACTTTTTATTAAACCGAAATGAATCGCAATCTGTTTTTTTAGGACAATATACCTAAACACTTGCTGGTTAGGAAGTTAAAATTTGTGTATCTGAATTAATATTCATACTATAGTGATTATTTAAAATGGATTTAAGCAGATGAATAGCAAAGGGAATAAATTAAAATTCCTTTATTACTTTCTATTTGGAAATGTTACTTTATAAAGTCTTATGTCTCCACTTGAAGGGAATGAGACTACATTAGTTTCTTCTTGGCAAAAGCTGCACTATCCAATCCTATTTCACTGTTGTAATCCTTACAGGAAACTTTGTTGTGACATATCAAAAATTGGATTTAGTATTTGTGTGAGAGATTGAAAGTGCTTGTGGCTAAAGTCTGCTATTCATCCATAGGTCAAATAGAGTGCAGCAAACAATGTCAGATTCCTTACACAGTTCCTGCCTAACAGACTTACATTCAGACCAAAAGGACCACCTCTTTACAGTTGGTAAAAAAAGCTCTAGAATTTATAAGCATATATTGGCTATTGAAATACATGGAGGGCACTATGTGTAAAACATATATTATTTTATTAATAATATATTATTTATATTATAAAATAAGACAACAGATTGAAATTGGAAAAGAAAGAAAACAGTAAGCTTTTTAAATTATTTTCATATAAAGAAAGGACTGTACAAAAAGTTTAATTCACCTAACACGATCTTGTTAAACACCATGAGGCATAGTAGAGGAGAGAAAAATATGGTATGCTAAAGATAAAGATACCTCTTAATATGGACAGCAATATAGCTTTTTTAAAGTCCCTTTATGGTGCTTTGAAAGAAAAAAATCTTTGTTAAGTAACTCATCAAAGCCACAAGGAGTCCCCATAAGACAACATTCTTAATACTTATCAGAGTCATCATTTTTCAAATACAATTAAAATTGACTTGTTTAAAATAGTGAAATAAATCAGTCTGAAGTATTAAATATTGTTTTTCAGAATGAGTCTTTATGAATTGAAAATGAAAATCAGTCTAATTAATAAACATGGTTTGATATATTTTTAAATGTCAGTCATCCTTAATATACGTACAGTAAAAATCTGTGATCATAGAAGCTTGTAAATTCAATAATACTTTTTCAAAACATTTCATTTTATATCAAACTATTTAAAAATTAACACACTTTGCAGAAAATTATATAAATGTTGAATTAAATTTTCAGAGTAAGTTATTCAGCAAGGATAGCATTTTATCTGCGTTGTTTGGCTAGCAATGCCAAATACATATCTGGAGTTTCAAAAAGTGCCCTTTTGGCAACCCCCCCCCCCCCCAAAAAAAAAATTTTTTAAAAAGTAGCAGGCACAACATTTTAACGAACAATTAAAAAAAAAACCCTTTTGATTTAAGAGGTGACAGGAATTCAATATCAATTAAAATTCACTTCAGGAGTGACCATTTTATTTAAGTGGAATTCAAGAAAGACTGCTTGATGTCCAAAATGTAGTTGACAGCTAATTTCCAATGCCCATCTTTTGTATCTTAAGGAAGAATGATTTGATTAATGGACAACAAAGCAGCATATTTTATTTTTCCCAATTGTCAAAAGGACATCAGCAACTCGAAAATGCCTCTTCTGCCTGAAAATTTTGTATCTCCTTAAGTTACAAATAGCTGTATACCTAAGAAAGATTATTAGAAGCTAAAGAAGTTAGCAGAAAAAAAGATTTTATTTTTTCTGTTTAACTTTATATGTTTGATAGCACTTTCTTTATAGTCCATTTCCTGTGCAATCAGAAATTCAGTCACTTTATATCTCCCTGAAAAGACCCAGATAAGCAATAACAGAGCAGTAGAAAATGTCTGAATTGTTACTGATTTTAAAAACTCTCTTATTTTAACAACACCCTATCAAAAACTGGATATTTTTTAAATTAGTCACTTACCAAAAAAAAAAAAAAAAAAAAAATCAAGTTGACACTGTCTCTTTAGCGTGTCCACTCTTCTGATCTCACTTTCAAAAGTGAAAGTAGTTTAGATGCGACTTTTTTGGCAACCCCCTTCTTCTCTCCATTGTTCCTCACAGCTTTTCTACAAAGGGGGAAGGGGGCGGTTCGCCGAAAAAGCCATGTTTAAACTACTTTTACTTTCAAAAGCTCTGCTTTCAAAAGTGAAATCGGAAGAAGATATGCAAATTCCCGTGGAATTTGCATATCCTCTTTCAACACTCTAGCGTAGTCTAGATGAGCCCTGATGACCCCTTAAAGAATAACAAAAATATATAGCTTGAGAGGGGTAGCCGAGTTAGTCTGTAACTAGAAAAACTTAAAAAACAACATATAGTCTAGTAGCATCTTAAGGACTAACAAAAAATGTAGATGGTATCATGAGCTTTCGTGGGCACAACCCACTTCATTTACTAACAGGGAAAAACAATAAGAGATTGAAAATATATAGAACAAGACTAATTGTTTTTAAAGTTACAGACTAACACAGTTACCCCTCTAAAGTTTCAATACTGAGATTTTTAAAATCAAACAATTTTACAATATTTTACCTTACAAATATCCCTCTTGCTAACCTAATAATGTAATGCACAATTGATTTACGTTGGAAAAAGAAAGATAGACTTCTAAATCTTTCATCAATACATTTTAAATTAATTTAGTATTAAATATGTCTTCACAGATTATGATTTACATTATTAAAATATCTGACTGCTTTTAATTGAGCAAAGAATACTATGATATTTATTCATTAAATACTTTGGGTTTATGTATTTGGGGGGTCACCACTATCATATAAGAAGAAAAGTTAAGAGGAACTGTTAACTCCCCTTTTACTGATCCAATTAACACAATTTCCATTTTTCATTGTTCTCTTCTTCAGTTAAAGACAACATGAAATCCTTGCAGTTTGACCTTTAACTGTGTAGAATTAAATGTCTATTTCCCATTGCAGATCTATTCAAAGTTGTCAAACACAAACTCAGGATGAGAAACTGCACAACAATGTGCTCAAAAAGGCTATGCAGAAACAGAACTCCTCTGAATTTTCACAGATTGAGTTAACTTACTTTAGAGGAAGTAGAATCACACTCTTGACAAATCCATCCATAGCCTGTCTGTTTTGGAGATTTTTTCAAAGGAGGGTCGAGACAACCAAAATGGTAGCAGAGCCTGCATTCATCACACCTGCAAGAGAAACAGATAAATTATGTTTTTTGATTAATTCAATCAAGTCATTCAAAGCACTTTAGGGTATCCCCAAATCATTAGTTTGTTTTAAAACATTTTCAGGAAGGGTGATTTACATGCACACATTCACACATCTGTAGTATGTTTCTATTTAATATGGAATATTCTGATGCAGTAACGCTGGTGGGAGGTTTGTATGCTCTGTATATTTACTATTCATCCATAAAGATGCTTGGAATTACAAAATTTTATGTCTTACTAACTAAAAAAACACTGGATGACCAACAAATCAATTTTTGAGAATCTGCAGCATTATTGCAGATTTTTTCAAGATTTGTACAAAACTGTGTTGTCATTTTTCAGAGACCATGGCTGGTATAAATAACTACCATCTGTAGGATTTAGTACACTTTTCAGATAACAGAACTTTCTACATTATGCATCTTCCATAACGTCTGCCCACATATCAAGTAATTCAAATACGTTTACAATTCCATGAATGTTTTTTTAAAATAATGACTTTGTACTAACAAATAAAATCTGCACAAAATAGTCAATAACGTGAGATTTCGTCTATAAGATTTGGAAAAGGTATTCAGTTAAAACATTTTATTGCAAACCTTTCGCTTATAACTCACAAAAAGTCCAGTCTACACATTCATAATTCTGGGTTTATCAACAAACATTTTGATAGTGTTTTGTGCCGTATTCATTCCACAGCAAATAGCCTGAAACATGTATCATAATTGTTCTTTATTCAGACATTCTTAGTCTACTGCCACTGAAGAAGCATTTGCTATACTGCAGTGTTTAAGAAAAGGAGTCTTACATCAAACAGTACAAAAATATGCTCAAGATGAAAAAAATGTTTGAACAGCAAGTAATAGAGATTCATACATCTTACTGAAGTGGTTGTCTTCATCACTTTTTTTGCATACACCCTAGGATGTTTTGTTCAAAAGGGAAAGTTTTCTGAAAACTAATTTTGTCAGATTCTTTTTATTTATTCCACTTTAGTATCTCAGCTGTTTGAATTAAAGCCTCATAATCTAGAAAATCCACAAATAAGAAGCTAGCAAAACCAATTTAAAAACCCCCAATCTGTAGCAAGGTGCAGAATGCAGAATTATTTTTTAAAACATAAAATGCACAGTGTGCCACTTATCAGACCAAGAATACTAATATATTTTAATAAATTATTACCAGAACATAGAACACAAAGTAGAAAGAGGATTAAATAAAAGGAATCCACTAAAATTCCATATGAAAACAACCATTTTGGGATAGTATTTGTTTAACCTAAACAAATATTTTTCTAGCATTACTGTAGTGGGTGCATATTCCAGAATTGTCTTCTTTTTCTATGTAGTCATATAGAACATGGTCTTTGGTACAGGTGAAATCTCAGTTCCTCCAAGACCCTTCAGTAGCAATGCCTTTTTATGTTAGTGTCTACTTCCATATGGACACCCTGGGGATTAACAAGATATTTGCCTTCTTAAGGAATGCAAGACTGGGCCCATACAGTATTTTTACATTGGCAAAAACCATAATGAAACCAGTACCCTGCATAGCACTTACTATGTTAAACTGTAATTTTGCCTGATTGTAGTATCTGCCCTATGACCAGAGCTCAACAAATCTGTGTATCTACTCGCTACGGTTTGTCGAGCCCTGCCTATGACTACAAAAGAAAATAAACTGAATAGGGTTTTTAAAATCTATTCTATAATAATAAGAGCAATATAATTGTAACCAAACTGTAAACATTTTTGCTTAGTCTCTGAATAATTTTTATTGGTGTAACCAGATATGCAAGTAATTAAAATATTGCAAAGGCATATTACCAAATAAGGAAATAAGTCAGAGGGAAATAGCATAGTTAATTATGAAAGTAGGGAATAGAAGAGCCTGAATCCTTTTCCTGGCTTTGCAAATTACTTGTGAGAGACCTTCAGTAAGTTGCTTAACCTCCTTGCACCTTGGTTTCTGCATCTGAAAAAAAGAGGTGCAATATTCCTAATCTATTTAACAGAAATGAAGTTTAACTTGGAGACCCTTACACTTCTGAGCAGTGCCTCCACACAAGTATTCTAACTGAACTCCTCCTTTCTATCAAACATTTAGAGAGCTTCCAATATGTAAATAATATTTTATCAAATATATGTAAAATTCATTTCCAAAGAACAATACTAGATTCTAAAACCTACGCCAAACTTTAGAATACTAGACATTTCAACACAACCTATAAAGATTCTATTGGCAGTCTGCTTAGTAATGACACAGCAGTACAGGAAAACAGTTGTAACAGAAATGTTCTATTTAAAAGAGAACAATCTTTCCTCTTCAAAATCATGCTTTAAAATCTTTAATGTGGAGGGCAGAGGAACATCTCTGATCCAGAATGCCCAATATTCTGATTTTACTTTAAATCACATTTCAAATGTCATCCAGTAAATATGTGTAAGTTGGGTTTAAATAACCATAACATGATGAGAGAAAAAGGTTTCAGGATCCTAAAGCCAAGTTTTGTTCTTATATTCAACAAAACCTGATTTGAAAAGAAAATTATTTTGTATCTAATGAATAATATTCTCATATGCTTCTTGAATATTCAAAACTTAAATGTAAAAAGTTGAAACACTGGTAAATGTTCATTTTTAAAAATTTAAATATATGTACACAACTGGTGAGAGCATGTCAATGGTAAAATCATCCTCATATGACATACTCTTCAGATGGGAAAGTATCAAGTGATACATATTTAAAAATTATAACCATAAATTGTGAAATGCTGCTTTTACAAAAATATATTCTTATACAAAATAATCAAAATTCAATCTTTTAAAATATGAATATAAAAAAGCTCCCTTTAGAGGAAAAAAACAAGACAAAATGATAAATGTACTGCATACTGAAATTAAAAAATGATGCTGTTCAAAAAAAGTTCATCTTCCAGCCACAAAACTATGATTGTCGGCCCAATAACCTCTTCATTGATTCCAATCAGATTTGGTCATTGACTTCTATAGCAGAATGTTCAGACTCTACCAATCTTAATATGGTAAGATAGTAGGATACAGAATACATTTTGCTTGAATCACACCTGATAAAATGGTCTACTTATTAGAATATTTTACTGTTGCACATCTGCCTTGCAGCACGGTTGTGCGATATCTTTTGGATAATTGAGCTTCAAAATGTTGGGGAAAAGGTACAGCTTACATACACTTCTGTTACGTAAAGAAAACAGTTGCTTCTCCTTGATGAATTATAGTTTAGCACTGGCACCAGAACTGGAGGAAACCTGGTTAGTTAAGTTACATCAAGTTACAAAGACAACAGGTAAAATGAATATTAAAGTCTTCAATATGAACAATCTACTATGGTCTAGGATCTTAGAAAATATACTGCCAGATCCAGAAACAGAACCTAAACAAACTACAGGTTGAACCTCCCTTAACTGGGACTCCCTGGTCCAGCAATATCCATGGTCCAGCATGGACTATGGATTTTTCTGGACCACAGAGCCCAGGAAGAGGAATGTCTGGAGGCGGGGCAGGAGCACCATAAGGGACACTGGCAACTCAGCTGGGAGTCCAGAGTGTGTGCATCTGGGAAGTGGGAGGACAGACAGCATGGTGGGGAGTTTAGCTCCAGCCATGGCCAAGGAGCTCTAGTCTGGCCATGGCTGTGGACCTCCAGACCTGGCCAGGGAGCTCTAACCCCAGTGGTAGCCAGGGAGCTCTGGCACTGTTCCCAGAGCTCTGGTCGTGTTCTGGCTCCAGCAGCCAGGGAAGTCCAGTCCCAGCAGCAGTCAGGAAGATCTGGTCCTCACTGTGGACCTCTGGTCCCGTTCCTCCGCCTCGGATGCAGAGCTCTAGTCTCAACCACGGAGCCAGGCAGCTGCACAGCTCTGTCTTGGCTGCACAGCTCTGGCTGTGGCACTCCAGTCCAAGAGGCTGAGGCACCAGCAGGGGCAAATCCTCTTGTTCTGGATCAGTCAGCTACCAAGGGTGCTGGACCAGCAAGGTCCAGCCTGTATAAGATGACTTTAAAACTTAAATTACGTGAATTTGTTGCTTGTGAAAGATGCCAAGTTAGTAGCCCCGAAAACTTGCAGTAGTCTTGTTCACAGAACAAGTGCAGAATAAATAAGAATAGGAGGCACCAGCAGGGGCAAATCCTCTTGTTCTGGATCAGTCAGCTACCAAGGGTGCTGGACCAGCAAGGTCCAGCCTGTATAAGATGACTTTAAAACTTAAATTACGTGAATTTGTTGCTTGTGAAAGATGCCAAGTTAGTAGCCCCGAAAACTTGCAGTAGTCTTGTTCACAGAACAAGTGCAGAATAAATAAGAATAGC